CAAATTTTCAGGTGGAAAGCTCTAATCTTAAAAATTGAATTTCTACTAAATTAAGAATTTAATTAAATAATAGTATTTTAATTATCTAAAGATTGAATTATATAAGATCATTAAAAATACATCCATAAATACATCTTCCTCACATTAAAAAAATGTAATTGACCTAAATGAACAATTGTCATCCAAAAATAGAAAGGAGAAACACCCTAGATAGGAGCGCTTTCTCTCGTAAGGAAGTTTTCAAACCAAATAAAAATTCAAATTTCATGTTTCTCGTATAAAGATTATGATTTTTTGAACGAACAAGAATGAATCATAGTTTGGTCCTAAAGGAGGTAACAAAAAGAACCCGACTTAACAAAATATAATTGAATTGGTTGGAAAATAAATAATGAATATTAAATAGAAATTTTATAAAAACTAATATGTTCATGTGTAATTTTATCATTCCCTTGTATTGCTAGCACATAACCTTCTCTTTCGTGAACTTCATAAAAATAATAGAGTAGTGTCAACATGAGGAAATAATTTGTTACACACTCGATGCAATTAAATTAGTAAAATCATCGTTATGTTTCTCTTAACTAAACTGAATTAATATATGATTCAGCTTACTTCAAAGAAAAAATAATATATACTAATACTAATTTAATTACATGTCAAGTGTGTGGCAAAATATCTCTTTATGTAGTACAACACAATACTTTATCATTTTGATCAAGTTTACGGAAGACAATGTTATATGTTAACAATACAACGAAATGTTTTAAAATCATGAATGAATATGTTAGTTTATATAGTATTATTATTTGATATTCATTATTATTCGCTGACAAATTTAAATTTTTGTTAAGTCAACTTGATTTTGTTACCCCTTTAGGACCTTCTATAATTCATTTTAGTTCAATCAGAAAATCACCATATTATAAGAGGACCTTTGAATTTATAGTTTGTTTAAAAACTTTCTTTCAAGGGAAAGCGTTCCTATACAGGTGTTTCTCCCTTCTAATTTTTGATGGCAATTCATTCTAAATTAAGGCAAATCAACTTTTTTTTATATGAGGAAGACGAACTTTGATACATTAGTTTGAGTAAAACTTCCTTAACAGGATAACGATCTAACCAAAGTGAAATAAAAAGTTATGTAGGAGTTGTTCGCTGGTAGCATAGTTATGATGGTCAGCTACCCCCAAGATGCGTACCCGACCAAAGATCACAAGTGATCCCAAGATAACTTTGTTGGCATACATCAACATACTATGAAATCTTAAATGAAATAATACTGAGCGTAAGCTTTATGAAAAATGAAATTGATTGGGAATACCCATTCTAAAACTGAATATATAAGAAAACTAAGAGTTTTAACACAACTTAAAGTCAAGCTCAAATGAAATAAAGCTAAATCTAGTTATGTCTGAAATAAGACTAACTGACTGTTTTCTTGTTAACAAACATGTGTAAAGCAGGCTTGATTGTGAAGAAGTTGGAGAAACACGAGGAGATGGTGAATGCATCCACTATGCGAAATGTATTGTTTATGCTAAATTTGGTGAAGTAGGAAGAGAGTTGCAGGTTCCTAGTCTCTACGAGCAATACTCGTTCTTGGGTTGATAGTATGTTTAACTAATAAGTAATTGGCTATATATGTGCAAATTTACAACCTATTTGATATGTGTGCATAGATGCCGAAGCAAAACCAGTTTACAAATGATGTGCTTTGATAGGTATATTCTCAAATGGCAAAGTGAAAAGCTGTTGATTGCAGAATGTGGACTGAGACTCATAGGAGAAAAGATGGAAGTTATGTAACTGAGGAAGCTAAGGAGATGGGGTAAGTATTCTTTCTGTAGGGAATAACTCGAGTAGATGATTATAGTAGTTCATAATTTGGGATTAGGATAGTGCAGTTGTAGGTAGCTTAGTATTGTTGTACATTTATGTGGGAGAGGCAGAGATTAGTCTCTTCTGTTTATCGCCTTTGTATCCAGTATTAATATTTAGTGTTTACCGGGTACCTTATTAACAGTCATAGAATCCATTGGTACATCAAAAGATGGAACAATAGTATAAACTATGATACATTCTTGATTGAATGAGAATGGATCTTTTAAGGAACAACTACGATTCATATTTGTTCGATTAAAAAATTACATATTGCAAGGAGGGAGAGGAACTTTGAATTTTTCATTTGTTTGAAAACTTCCTTACAAGAGAAAATACTCTTATCTAGGGTGTTTCTTGCTTCTAAGTTTTTGTGGCAACTCATTCAAAATTGAAGCAAATTACCTTTTCTTTTAATATGAGGAAGGTGTAGTTTCCAAAAGCTTATAAATACATTTCCTCGTATAGAAAATGTAATTTACCCCGATTTAGAATGAATTGTCACCCATGAATAGAAGCGAGAAACACCCTAGATAGGAACGTTTTCTCTTGTAAGGTAGTTTTTCAGACAAACTAAAAAATTCAAATTTCCTTACCCTCCGATCAAGGGGTGATTTTTTGATTGAACGAGAATGGATTATAGCCGGTTCTAAAAGACGTAACAAAAAAATCGACTTACCACAAATATAAATTAGTTTACAAACAAATAATGAATATCAAATCATTATATCAAATAGTAATAATATATAATTTAATATGTTCATGTGTGCTTTTACCATTTTGTTGTATTGGTGGTATATAACTTTTTATTCGATGAACTTGATCAAAATGATGGAGTAGTAGCACAACATGACGAAATATATTGCCACACACTCGACATGCAATTAAATTAGTATAAGCCACTGTTATATTTCTCTTACCTAAGCTGAATCATATATTATTTAAAGTGAGAAGCTCCTATCTTCACATTTGGATTGTCATTTTCCCTCCACTAAATCAAAAACATAACACATTACTATTTAGTTTGATCTTTAATCAACTTTTGATTTAGTGAAGTGACGAAATGTAGATCTAATTATAAAGATAGGAGTTACCCACTTTATATATTATATGATTCAGCTTAATTAAAAGAAACATAACAGTGACATATACTAAATTAATTGCATGTCGAGTATGTGAAGAAAGATTTTCTCATGTTGTGCCATTACTTTATCATTTTGATCAAGTTAATGGAAGAGAACATTCTATGCTAGCAATACAACGAAATAGTAAAATTGTACATGAATATATTAGTTTATATATTATTATTATTTGATATTATAGTTTGATATTCATTATTTATTTGTTAGCCAATTTATATTTAGGTCAAGTCGATTTTGCTACACCTCTTTTAAGGATCAACTATGATTCATTCTTGTTCGACTAAAACAATTAAATTTTGAAAGGAGGGAGAGGAACTTTGAAGTTTTCATTTGTTTTAAAACTTCCTTACAAGAGAAAACACTCTTATCTAGGGTGTTTCTTGATTCTAATTTTTATGGTAATTCATTTTAAATCAA